CGAGCTAGATACTATCTCCTAACAGGCACAGTACGATTACTCGAGGCGAACACAGCGGGAAACAACTAAAGGTAGCTACCATGAGAATACTATTTCAATTTTTCACAGATGTACATCACCCGAGGTCTGTGGAGGCGATAGCGTCCTGGATGAAACTGGTGGCGAAGCTCCGACGCGCCCTGGTCGTTCCAGTGTTCCTCGAGACCGACCGGCGGGGTTTCTATTCCATAGTATAGATGCTGATGGCCGATCGTGGTCGTTCTCTTCGCCGGGTATACTGGTTACTCTGAGTAATTTCTTCGTAGGTCGGGTAGTAATCTCTCGCAGATCGGGTAATGCTTCTCTATAGTTGTAGGTCGGCTTCAAGATAACTTGCTTGAATCGGTAGTTAAGTCGTAGTTCCTTTTATTCGATGGTAAGTCGTGAGATCTCAGAGTAGTTCCACTATTTCGGCAGATCGGTTCCAATGTTTCTTCGTCGGTTGTCTTTTTCTCGGTGATATACAACGCGGTCGGCTGAAGTTGTCTGAAGAGACGTCGTGACTCAAGAAAATAACGAACACCACAATTGTTTCTAAACATTCTCTGTTCCCTGAATACGTGCTACAAACGACGTGCGGCAAGATCCTCCGCGCTCGACTGACTCCGCACTCACTGGCTCTGCGCTCGAACTCTGGTGATCTAAATTCCGCACACAACACGATGTCTTCTCGGCACGCTGGCCGACTCGCACTGAGCTGCCTCTTCTCCTACCTCTCTCCTTTTATAGCCCCGTTCGCTACCCGCGTGAGGCGTCCTACACCCGCTTTGTTTTGAATTTTAAACCGTCGGCTTCAATCAATCTTCAACGGTTCTACATATATTAACAATTTTGAGATACTATGAATTTCTATACTAATCAGGTTAGGTCACATGCAGTTAAGCTGGAAGAGGTTAGGTCAGGTGCAATTAAGTCGGAAGAGGTTAGGTCACATGCAGTTAAGCCGAAAGAGGTTAGGTCAGGTGCAATTAAGTCGGAAGAAGTTAGGTCAAATGCAGTTAAGCCGGAAGAGCTTCGGTCAGATGCAATTAAGCCGGAAGAGTTTAGGCCAGATGCAGGTAAACCTGATGAGGTTAGGTCAGATGAAGCTATAAACCGGAAGACGTTGTGTCACATGCAGTTAAGACGGAAGAGGTTATAGCCTATAGGTCAGATGAGTTAATCGTAACATTTCTGCGTTAAAAATTCATAATATATTTATGAAGTTCTTGAACTATTTGTATTTTAAGCTGTGATAAAATGATTTAAAACTTGAGTTTATCATGTTAGTTTTTGTTGTCGTATGCTTGTACATTACTCGATTCTCGCCTCTCGGACAGTCTTGTTGCCCCGAAGTCAGAAGGGCTCTCTGCTCTGCTGCTGTATAGGAAACTAACCGCGAAATTCGAAAACTGGGAGTGGCACATGCAGACAATGACACGGAGTGAAATTGCAATGCTTGCATCATTTGCATGTCTATTGCAAACTCTGTAAATAAAAATCTACCGGTAGCTGCAACTATATTGACCAGTGTACACATGGTGCGTACCGGTCATTGAAAACCTGGAAAGTCATGGAATTAGATTTTTTATTTCCAGGCCTGGAAAGTCATTGGATTTCATTTCAGGTCATTGGAAGTCATGGAACAAAACGCTTTTTGATTTTCCTTAATAAGGTTGATGTTGGTTACATGGCCAGGACCACGATAAAAAAACTGCTTGCCGACAAGAAGGCGAGTGCAATGCAAGTTCTCACTTTCAAGACACGAGCGCGGGACTTCATGCAGGCTGTAGTTCAAATGCTACTGGACAAGAGACCTATCAGGTATGGCTTCGGTAGGAACCTGAGATGGCTGGTGCCAAAAGTCTTCATCAAGAAGGACTGTAAGGAAGCCGACAAGATACAGTTGAAGAACTGTCTCACTTTGCTTGTTGATGCCAAGAGATTACCGAACACAGATGTGGATTGTGTTGTGCGATGAGATGTGCAACTGTAGAGATGAATCACAACATTGCAATGAACTGAACGCGCAGTTTCAAGCATTTTCAAATTCTTCATTTCAACTTCTTCACTTTCAATTTCTTCACTTTCAACTTCTTCACTTTTTCAACTTCTCCACTTCGCACAGTTTCAAGCATTTTCGACTTCTGGACACTTCTTCAACTGGACACTTTTTGGCATGCCATTCTGTCAAAGAGCACCTACAAGAAGCTCTGGAATGTAGTGCAGATGTAGCGGATCTCGCTACATAGAACTAATTTTATGTACAGGGTGACACAAAAAAAACAGAGCTCATAAAAAGTTGAATAATTTCCACAATACTCAAGTAATCCTGTTATTTGTTTCAGATTCATTAAGAAGACGGATTGATCTAAGAGTCTACCACGTGTGAGCTTCGAGATGCCTTGGACTACAGAGCAAAAGACATTTGCAGTTGAGACATATTTTCTAAGTCTGCCTGCAGCGCCGGGGCGCGCATCTGGAACATATCTTTGAGCGGCTGTAGAACAAAGAGTTTTTGTGGTATAGAATTGAGATTTTGCAGATGTTGGCTACATAGGTTGTACATAATTCCATAGAATTTTTGTTTCAAACTGAATAAAATTTCAGGAGTTATAAGACTTTTAGTGAGCTCTGTTTTTTTTGTGTCACCCTGTACATACATCATATCTCGCTACATAGAACTAATTTTAGGTTTATCATGTTAATACTCTTAGCATTACGTTTATCGCATTAATAATTTGCACATCATCATAAGAATAGTTCAGAGAAAGCTCAGTTCTGTTGATGGCAACATCTCACTTTCACCAAGCCTTCCTCCTTCCAAGGTCTCCTCCTAGTGCAGCCGCTGTAGCATCCATTTGCCTCTCTCACATCGACCTGCCAACATCTCTCGTAAGTTCTCTAACTTAGAAACTCTGCCCTTAGAATAGCTCTTGTATTCAGTGTGTTAAGTGCAAGTGTAAAGTTATTTCAGAGACATTGCAAGTTTTGAGCAATTAAATTTTTGTCATGCCGTAGAAGTTCACGTGATGTATTGCTCACTTGTGAAATGGGGTCGTGAATAGTGTATTAACACTGTCCTACTTTGCAGTGACCCTACATCGACGAAGATTCCTGCCCTTGCAACGTTTAAACTCAAGATAACGTGCCTTCGTCAACATCTCCACGTGCGTCCGGTAACATCTCCACGTGCATCCGGTAACATCTCCACGTGCCTCCGGTAACATCTCAACGTGCCTTCGGTACATAATTATGGGCCCGCGTAAGGACAACGTCGGTAAGTAACATCACGTGCCTTCAACGACACCATCTGGTGCCTGTATAAACTCAACATCGTGTGCCTTCAACGACGCCATCTTGTGCCCTATAAACTCAACATCACGTGCCTGCGCAACTTCACCACGTGTTTCCGGTAACGTCTTCTCGTGTCTCGGCAACGCTCAATCATCTCTGCCTGTGCAACGTCTCCACGACGACGTCACGTCCACGACGTCCCACCACGCAACCACGCGTATCTGGACTCATCACGCAACCACGTGTATCCCGTCGACCTTCACCACTGGCCTGGCCTTCCAATTCCTCCGGGATCATCACATCGAGCAGGTCACATGAGCTTAACAAATAAATTCACATTATCACCACTTGAGCTTAACAAATAAATTCACATTATCAATTGCTGTTGTGTTTATTTTGTCTCGACTGACATCATCTTGCAGCACCTAAAGTTTCAATCTGATTTAAGTGAATATTACAATTTAAGTTACCTTGGCCTCAATTTCCACTGATAGGAGTCATATAATTATTGAATGTGGTCGGGCACGTAGCCCCCACACAGATGCTCATGCTACTGTCTCATGGCCAAGCCACGTTTGAAAAAATATAACTCAGTACTCACTGCAGTGAGTGAAAGAGAGCGCATTTTCTCGTCGACGAAAACTTGAGGTCACGGACGGACAGACAGACAGACATGGCGCGCAGAATAGTGCATTTTTTCCATAAATGAGAAAATGCGCTAAAAAAAGGTTTTCGTTCAACAAGGATATCATGACGCACAACATGAAAGAGCAAACGGTGGTTGCCCTGCGTGCTGTGGTTGATGTTGCACATGTTGGTGGCCAGGACAAGATGACCATCAGCAAGAAGATGCTGCTGGCAGCAGGCAGTGTCAAAAGAGCCTACAATACTTATTTGGCAGAAGAGAACGAGCAGAATGCGAAGACCCAGAAGAGGAAGGCTTGGTTCGATAAGCTAGATAAACTGAAGAAGAAAAGGCGTACGGAGGAGGGCATCAAGGCGCTTGAGCAAGCAGCAGATGAATATGCATAAGCAATGGAGAGAAGGCTGGATTTGAAAGTTATCACAAAGTTCAACGCCATGAGGCAATCTTTGAAAACAAAGATAGACACTCTTGAACTGAACATTAAAGAAAAAGTTGATGAAATAGCTGCCAGTTGAATGTTAGGGTAGTCGGTAGTGGTGTTGGAGAGTGTTCTGAACTGTATTGACATTACCATGTACTATCTTGTGAGCATTATTAAATATTTGTTGTGATTTGACACTATTGAATTCGTAATAATACCAGTGTGGGCTTGATTTTCAGATTTGTGTCATTTTTGTTCCTCTGTGTCTGCCTGCTCTATGCATTTACACGTTTGCTATTTATCAACTGTAGGAGATGATAGAATGTGCACGGTTAGTATTCCAGTTTTGCTAAACCTGTCGTATACGAATCTTGGAAAATCATATTTATGGTCATGGAGAGTCATGGGAAAATCATGGAATTTTTTTCTCTAAATACCAGTACGCACCCTGAAAGCCACTTAAGGCTGAAATTGGGATTTTATAAACGAATTCTGCAATGGTACAAATTTTTATTCCCAACAAAAGTGTTAGTAGGATCAAGTGATGAAAATAAGTTTGGTTGATTGCCTGGTGTCGGACCATCAGATCATGGGACCAGCCACACTCAAGAATCAAGGTGTTGACTTGAACCAGCGACAGGACTCTTGCGGACTTTGCTTCCCTGAAGCCAAGCTGAGGTAGCGATCCCTGATGAGGAATGACGTGGGTTTTGGCTGACGTGATCTGGTGAAGACGCCTTTCTTATTGCCTCCAGGTCGGCCTGGTGCTGTAGTGTCTGTAGACGTCGAATGAACGGAGTGGTAAATGCTTTATAAAAAGAATAACGCAGAAAAAAGTATCAGAAAATCACCGTGGTGTAATAAACACTTCACCAAATGTACTCGTAAACGAACACTGCTTCTGTTAAGTCCGTTGAGAAAATTCAAGGATGTATACATGCCGAAACTCGCACTCACAGGCGATTGTGATGTAGCACTTCGATTTGTCGACTCGCTCGCTGCGCGCGCACCGACTCATCTTCGTTGATGAAATACGATCCATGAATGCTATGATCTATAAGTATATCTCTATATATAGATATGATGATGATATGATAGGTGCACGTGATGCAGTAGGTATGGAGGTGCTCAAGTGAATATTCATAACAGATCGCCCTTTTGTATTTTGCGACGTTTTCCTGTCATCAAGTTTAAAATGAAAGACAATTTTGTCGGCCTAATTAAATTTGATTCTTATTTAAATCATCGCAGCATAGTCGAGATGGAAAAATTTTTTAAAATACTTATATATAAAATTACTTTAAAAAATGAACAATTTGCTGTCCGTTTTTGTGCTTCGACAGTGTATCTGCATCTCGGTGCGGTTAGTTCCCATATCATTTGCTGTCCCGTTCTTGTGCTTTGACAGTGTATTAGGCTGGAACCCCTAGTCTCTGCGGCTGATTGTTGGCATCTCGGTGCGGTTAGTTCCCGTACCATTTGCCGTCCGTTTTTTGTGATTTGGCAGTGTATTAGGGCTAGAACCCCTAATCTCTGCGGCTGGTCGATGGCATCTCAGTGCGACTAGTTCCCGTACTATTTGCTGTCCGTTTTGTGATACGTTGCGTTGCATTAGGGCTAGAACCCCTAATCTCTGCGGCTGATTGTTAGCATGTCGTTGCGGTTAGTTCCCGTACCATTTTGCTGTCCATCTTTGTTTGTGATTCTCGCGGTGCATTAGAGCTAGAACCCCTAATCTCTGCGGCTGGTTGTTGGCATCTCGGTGCGGCTAGTTCCCGTACCATTTGCTATCCATTTTGTTATTCTCAGCTGTGCATTAGGGCTCATACTGTGCGGTTTCTCGGCTGTTTGTACTCCTGAAGTGTCAAGCCTCATTCCGTGAACTTTTGGACTAAGACGAATAAAAAATTTTGCGCATCGTATAAAGAACCTTTGTAATTCGCATGAAGATTGCCAGTATACTAATAAAAGTTCCTTGTGTTCGTTCCTCCTCTCTCCAACGCAAGGGATTTTAGAGACGGACCAAAGAGCGACTCTTGAGCCCTTGTGTCTGGACTCAGTACGAAAGTCTACACCAAGTCGGCACGCTACCCGTAAATATTTCAACTTCGCGGCGGTGTTTCCGGTTACACATGTATGAAACTTGCAGGTTTATGTACCACCAAAATGGTTAAGAACCACTGATCTAGTTCAAGATTTACGTGTCTTTCACCCAAAGCGATTAGTCATTTAGTTACATACCGAGTGCACCAATTTTTTACCTTAAATTTGTCTGCTATGTTTAGCGATCAATTGCGGAGACTATCGAGAAGTAATTCACTTAAATGAATTATGTAATAAATAAAAGGCACATTATACGTTGAGAGCTGCGGTGGCAACAAATGAGCAACGTTCTGTCTGAGGCAACTAATCAAACTTGTCCAATAGCCATTGAATTAATCTTACGTTAGTGGTGATTTAGCCTATAATAATTTTATGTTCACAATAAAATTCTAAATTTTACAATATTATAACATAAAATAATATAATTTATTATAAATAATAAAAATTCTAAATTTTTTGGCCTTCTTTAAATATTTACTTAGAATTTTAATTTATCTGAAGAAGCAAGAAAATGAAAATAAATTCAAAATTTCCTACCTTGCTTTGTCATGAAGTCGGCAAAGTTCCAAAACATTTCGCCCATGAAAGCAACGCTGCTGCCACGCAACTCATCGAACGCTGCGAAGTTGGCCAGGAAAAGCTGCATCTGATATTCCTCGCTCCACGTGTACGCGGGATCCTGCAAAAATACAAATATATGAAGATAGAGCTTAATCCCCAAATATAAATTATTTCAGTTAAATTTATGGAAAACGTTTTTTTGCCATGATCACGATAGTTATACAACATTATTCGCATTCTAATATGAAATATTTTTCAACTCCGTTCAATTAAGCAAAATATGCGATGAATTTGTACGTGATAGATAAAACATACTTGAATTAATGTAATAATACGCATAACATATAATCCTCGATTAAATAACACATGCGACATAACACAAACCATATGTAAGCCAGGTAAGGCATCAGCTCCATATTCAGAGATGCCCACTGGTTTGTTGTACTTGTTGTACCATCGCGTGAGGTCCGTGACTACCTGCTGCTGTATCAGTTCCAGGTGACCAGTGTCTGTGTACCAGGAGTAGTACCTGTTCACCCAGATTACGTCCAAGGATGGCGCCTGAGTAGACGATCAGGCACACAAGGTTCTAATATAAAATGAAGAATTTAAAGTAGATATATTAGGTTTTCGCTGACTTAAACGAATTGTCCCGAAATGGCAACGTCTTAAATCAAGGCTGTCAAGACTTGATCTGGTCAATCCCGAAGAACCAAGGCTAAAACTTTCGATTGGCCAGTAATCAAGGCTTAACTCTTTGAAATCATGAAGAATTCAAGGCCCAAAGCTGTGATGTCAAAGAGAGCATGGCTTTAACAGTTAAATTATAGGCACAGTTAAAAGGACGCCAAACTTTACAACGTGCATTCTTTATAAGTACGGAATGACGTCTAATTGCACCCCCCATATAGTGAGAATATGACACTTTTTCGGTAGAGTGTGATACAAAACTTCCATATCCTTTGCCATTGACGTCAAACTTTCATATTCATCCAAGTAGGACTACATAGGTGCAAGAGTACCCACACTCGGTGCGACTATAACGTTTATAATTCACCAGTCTGACTAGGATTAAGGCCACTTGATCTACAATACCGGGCTGTAGTCATCCGATTCAATACACACGGCATTCGTTAACTCACTGCGAGATCTTCCTTGTACGGCACGATGATGGCGGCAGTCAATGGTCTGGTGCCATCAGCAGCCCTTGTGGCGGCCGACACGTTCCTGCACCAACATAGGGCCTAACATTATATGTGAAAGAAACACGAAGAATAGGAGCGCACGGCGTGGTCTGAGTTGAAATCCTGGCTGAGCGCACTTGTCACTGGACGGGTTGGGTCCGATAACCAACTGCCGAAACTTCTCCGAAACTGCCGAACCTTTTCCATGGAAGGTTCGGCAACTGCCGAAACTTCTCTATGCCGAAACTTCTCCATGGAAGAGTGAGGACTAGTGGGTTAGTGGTAGCCATTAAATTTACAATGAATAAAGTCAATGAATCATATAAGAAACGCGCATATCGACGTCGAGATATGAGAAATTAAAAGAATTTAGTAATTGAGCTAATCACTGAAAAAACAGAGTACCAATGTCTACCAAACTTCCCGATGATCAGTGTAGGGTCCGTCATGCAGAGAGCACCTCAATTGGCTACGCATAAAATTCATGCGATATTGATACGCTGAGTAGGCACTCACGCAAGTTGCAAGTTCAGCCTCAGTATTCACAGCAAGCATTCAATACACACGCGAAATAAGAAGCAGCCTCAGCCTGGTAGCTTCTGGGTTCGTTAGCGAGACTCCAGGAGATGACGGCGGGTCGGTTTTTGTCTCGCCTCACAAGCTCCCGCATCACCTCCGAGTGACGCGAGGCTAACGTCTCGTCGAAGGTCCTTAAATAAACTTCACATTAAATAACTTAGTAAACATGTCAATTAATCCGAGGCTGAAAATATTTAAGGTTTTTATCCATTTCATAAAATTTTAATCAGAAAATTTTACAGACTACTATCATCAATCATGTTCTTTCTGAATTATTCTTCGAAGTCTCACTATTTTACCGAAAACTTTTTCGGCTTATAATGTACGCGTCTAAATAAAAATGTGAAGGTCGATGGTGATATCAACATGAGCTACAATTTGAGATTCTAATGTTGAAGAATCTGATCATTTTAGAAAATTTTTATTTTTATTGTGTGCATTTTGGAAAGAAATGATAATAGCCACGTGCTGTCGTGAATAGTAAGATGTCTCGTGATGGATGCAAGAATCGACGTGCAGTCCGACTATTGAAGCCGCGCAAGATTTTTTGAAGATGTTCCTCACTCCATAGGCCAGAATCCTTACTTCAAATTGACAGCTGGGCTCTCATCGATGACCATGATGCCCTCGGCATCAGCTTGGTCCATGATCTCTTCGGCGTACGGGTAGTGGGAAGTACGGAAGGCATTAGCTCCCAACCACTTCAGCAGCGAAAAGTCCTTCACCACAAGTGCTGGGTCGAAACCTTTACCTCGGATCTGGACGCAGGATTGAACACTTCTGTGACAAGAAAATGTGGATTGGCACTGCAATAACCAATGCGCAGAGCTTCATTACGTATATTTAAATGAAACCCAAGGACTACTACACACAGGACATGCATAGCCTATGTCCAGCCTCTGCTAGCAGAGGCGATCGCCTACACTATGAAAATGCTGGTGTTTTAGTGGCATCAACAAATGATATGCCCATAATTGTTTCATACAATAGTATTACAATGTGTGTAGTAGTCCTTGGTCAGAACCATAGACTTTTTGCCAGTTTTGAATTTTATCTATAAATGTAGCGGTAGCGCTGTAGCGGCAAAACCTCGTATCGCTACTTAAATATGTAGCGGGCGCTACCGCTACATTGCCTTAAATGTAGAGCCGCTACCGCTACTGAAAATGTAGCGGCCGCTACATGTAGCGCGCTACTGCCCACCTCTGTTCACAGCATAGCGTGAAGATCAATACTGCACATTGCAAAGACCTGCACAGCAATTAAGACGCGTGAAACTACACCGCGTTCTGTGAATAATGTCATTGCGCATCGAGGAGATCTACTCAACGCAGCTGGGAAAAACTCACGTCAGAATCTTCATGCTTGCCGCAGCCATGGATGTAAAGCGGCTTGCCATTGAGAGAAATCCCCGTGGCGCCCCAAGACAGTGCTCGAAGCCCTACTTTGACCGGGTATTGGTCCACCAAGGATCCGTCGGCCGCCTTGATGCTACCCTGTTTCAAAATACGGTCATTTATCGTCACCGTTGCGTTTTCCAGCTTTTTTCAATATATTAGTGGCCGATTAATTTTATTTATATTACTTCTATAACATTTAGTAGCATAGAAAAGGCCTCGTGCACGTTGCAGGTGATGACTGTTCATATGCAACTTAAACCTAGAGACTTTGTGATTCCTAACACGACGTGGATAAGGAGATATATTGTCAAGATCAAGGGTGGTTGCAATCGTACCCTGAGTGTGTATAAGTATCCAGGTTTTGGATTCATTAGGTATGGCCACCATAGCTGAGGGTTGGAAATCGTAACTGTCCCTTGACACGCGTCGGCATGTGCCACCGAAGACATGTTCGCGTCGAAGACGTCGACAGAGCACGAGAGGTCGGTCACTCCTGCAGCAGCTACATAATCGACTGTGAAGTTCAGCACTCCTGTTGGGCAACAGTTTAAATAAGATGAGCAAGTCAACTTTTGGGAAGATGACCGATGAAATGCTACGCATTTACCTATGCTCCTCACACACCACTGCCGAAGAAGCAAGTCTCAATCTCACTTTAGAATAACGTTGAATATATTTTTGAACAACATGAACTGGTAATCAACTTAGTTTCAACGCTATTATAGGTTGGAGATAACCAGCTTGCCTGTAGCGTCCGTGACGACAGTGATGTCATCGATGTAGCTCTGAGGTGTGGAATACAGCAGCACAGGACGATGGATGCCAGCATAGTTGAAAAAGTCGAAATCGTACTGTTGGATGAAATATCCAGGTGGATACCTGGAATAAGTTGCATTCTTTATCATTTACATGGGAAAAGATCTTTATCCGTGATTAAAGTTAAGAAATAGTTATGAGTTTATGTTTATGCAACATAAACGTGAAACAAGGATAATTCCAGGCTTGAAGGGCCAAGCCCTGTGAAGAAAGAATAAAGATTATGAAGCTTCCAAGCCTCTGTTATCGTTATCGACATCTGCGTGGGGACCTCATCGAAGTAGGTATACAAGAATACTCATAGTTTATACAAGGTCCCAGAAGGATTGCTAGAATTTTAAACAAGAACAACACCAGGGGCCACGAATGTAAGCTAAAAAAACTGAGTAGCAACTCATCCACGCGACAAAATTTCTGCTCGCTTCGAATCACCGACATGTGGAACATCTTCCCCGATTACATCGTTGACGCTCCGAGTATAAACTCGTTAAGAGAACAGCCTAGATGAAGCTATGTAAAAATATATGTTCAGACTTTAAATGCCTAGCACCATATCGAACCCGGTGGAAGTCTAGTAGCTATTTCAAATTATCTTCAGTCTAGAAAAATTACGGCCAAAGGACATGCTTTTGGATCTTCTGCGAACAAGTCACGAAAAGTACGAGAATCGACGACAGGCCACATCAGGTCTACTCTTCAGCGCCGACATCGCTATGTTATGTTATATTATTTAAGAGACGGAGATTTGTCGTCTTGATGTTATTATTTCAATCTTTCTCTCCAGAGTAACTCGATTGAGTTGTCAGGTTGGTCTGGCCGCAGTGGCTATAATGGTTCGTTTCCAGTCCTCGACCTAGCAGGAACGAAGTTAACAAGAAGGGAAAAATGACAACACATGAAAAGATTAAACTTTCTATAGTATGGAGGTAAATCATACACCTATTAAAGAGTTGGATCTCCGATACGTACGGCATCTACTGCACGGACATAATAAACCATCTAGAGGAGTAGGTACAAGAATTGAACAACATTCTGGGTCCATAACACGGATTTACGTCACTTACAAGATCGATAGATGAAGTGACACAAAAAAAGCACGGTAATAGCAAATAAATCTCAGAGCAAACAACAGCTTTGCCTCCATTAAATTCCTAACGGGTATATCACCAGCTTTTGGAAGTGGCAGTGCAGCAATTTAAATTCCGGTCAGTCTTGCGAGGCCTTCACAGATTTTGGCCAGCCTCTCCTCGATGATAATTCTTGACGCGGCTGCGCTGAGGTGATTCTCGACTCCAGGGAAGTAGATAACGAACTAGCTTCGTAGCTGGCTGGGGTTCTCGATCTTACGTCGTCTGATCTCGTAGTGTGGTCTTCAATCCTCGGGGAAAATCGGTTCACTCGTTGAATAATCTTACGTCGTCAGATCTCATAGGGCGGTCTTCAATCCTCAGGCAAAATCGTTTCAATCTTCGAATAATCTTACGTCGTCAGATCTCATAGCGTGATCTTCAATCCTCAGGAAAAATCGGTTCACTCGTCGAATAATTAATCTAACGTCGTCAGATCTCATAGCGTGGTCTTCAATCCTCAGGGAAAATCGGTTCACTCGTCGAATAATCTTACGTCGTCAGATCTCATAGCGTGGTCTTCAATCCTCAGGCAAAATCGGTTCACTCGTCGAATAATCTCACGTCGTCAGCACTGTTCCGACCTTCGACTGGTCGCGTTGCCCAACAGAGACAAATAACACAACCTTGCACTCGGCCGGCTGCCACGAAACTCCTCTCGCGGGGCGCCGAGGCCGAACTACTTAAATACCCCGCAGCGCAGCGTCGCTTTGATTTTTACCCTAAACGACCATAAAATTTTTTACCCTATAAATTTTCCCCATAAACAGGAACAACCACTTTGCCTTATATCTTGCTATTTGCATCACATCCTAATTAACAGTCGTAATTCCTACTCTAATAATGTCCTCCCAAGGCTAATGAATAAAATAGGTAATATTGAACATGTATTTTTGCGTAGATGTTGAGAAAGCCGAGAATGCTGGTGGAAGCGATGCAGTAAGTACAAGACGCGATTGTTCGAGACCATTGGAACAAGTAAGTTTACATCAAGCGTTGGCGAGCTCAGCGCGAGGGAAATTCCAGTCGAGGGATTCGGCATCCCTTCAAGGGCTAGGCTTAATTGTGCGCGTCGTCTGCCTATATAAAAACCCTAAAATTCACGCCAAAGGGTTGTTCTACTGTAGTCACGGTCACGCCAGTACGGTCTGCAGTCTGCGAACGTTGTGACGGCCGCCGACCGTGAGGCAGGAGGTTTCAATAATGGCGGTTTCAGCATTTATTAGGCCGTAGGCCTGTCGCCGATTCTTAACATCGCAAAATATTCACAGCATTTTGAGGTCTCGAACTCGCAACGCACTGCTACAATCCTGCTGTGCTTTACCGCCCGGCCTCCTTGCCGATTCTGACCAGAAACTGGCGCAGAGCTGGGATCGAACCAGCGCCTCTCTAGTGCGTCAATCTTGGTACTCTGAACTTTAACCACTGGGCCACCCTGCCTTGGGCCACGTTTTCGAGCATTGACGGTGACGAGAAAACTAGACTCATCGAGGCAACTACTATTCCTGCGAACGCGTTAAAAATTTACAAGTAACGGCCACGACTTCGCCATATATGTACGGTCAACATCACTGCTACGGCTGTGACTCAGCCGTGAGACAACGCGAGAGGCCACAAAACGTCCAACGATAATAACACCGGCAATCCTGTAAAGTTTGAAGCACTGCGTAACAATTTTCATCGGTACGGTCATCAGCACAGTACGGTCGTGATTCTCATTGGAAGAAGCGGTAAAGTCACGTTCATCATCAGCAGCAGTGAGGCCACGAGCTTGGAGAAACATCATCGACTATGGAGACGAACGCCACTATTCCTAAGTACGGTCGTCATAAATTCTACGGTTAGACCCACCGTGAGACATCACTGTAAGCGCGGGAAATACGGCTAAAAGAAAGAGCAACTACTGTGAAAGGGACGCGCGGCAACACCGGCGGTACGGCCGCAGGCGTGTGCGCAAAATACGGTAGTTTGCAACTGTCGTACGACTCAACGGAACTGTAACGGGTCACCGTTTCTGGTAAATAGAGAAGTTTGAGCGATGTTAACTGATAGGTTCTAAACTTTTTATTGTGTTCGGACTTTCTTTTTCATGTACCAAAGGTAAGTACGTTCTTTTTCATGTACGTTGTTTCTTTTCAACGTAGGATGTGAACTTGAATTCTCCAATTTAATATTAAAGGTACCAGTGTTTCATTGCAACCCTCTCTCTGTACGATTTTTGCCGCAACCTGTTCATACGAGAACTAACATACTCGCCTAAAGTAAGCCACTACGGAAACCAACCTGACAGAATCAATGCAATTGACGATCGAACAATAACTCAAAATCTTCAAAAACACTCTTTCGTCAGCCGTAAAATAATTTTTTACTGTAATTTAATATAAATGGCGAACAAAACAAGGTGCAATTAGTTGTATTGCATTTTTTTATTTATATGCTAAAAATTTTTGCAGAGGTACATTAAGTTGGATAGATGATGAGCTACAAAAAATTGAGAAATGATGACAATTTCATATTAAAAAATGTAGAAGCTAACATATAGATTACGTAAAAGCTAATGAATAATGCTAAGCAGCGGAAAGTCTCAGATTAAAATTAGGGTTTTACTCACATAGTCTCGTCTGTCTTGTATTGTATCTCGCCCTGCGGAATGGTCTCGTTGGTGAGGACGTTATTGACAGCCACTGTTAAGAGATTCGCTTGGCCAGCTGGCTTGACTGCTAATGTAACATCAGCAAGCACTGGAAGATGTCCTCCTTCGTGGGCCGTTACAGCAACGCCGTTCACGTACACCACACAACTGTAGTGAACAGATCCCAACCGCACCAGCACACGCTCGCCGTCTTCCAACCAGCGTCTAGGCGTCATGAAGAAAGTGTCGTACCTGAAAATACAAGTTCTAGTCATATAAGCTAATTATATGCGAGTAATTAGGCGTTGAACGCATACAAGGCATGGGTAATTTGTGCAATTAACGATTGGTGACGTACCATGCCCATGTAGCTAATGGAATGGTAATAGGCAAATTGGTGCTAAATGAACGGTAATTACAATCAGTCAGTATTAACCCTTTTAGAATTGATGATAACTATCCTGACACACTTTTAGACACGAATATCATTTAGTACGGTTAATCTATCAGTTGCTATATGGTTAAAATTAAGGGCATAAAATGTTGGTCATTTGACACGAACAACTCACCAAGCCCACCCCACATGGTCCCTCAAGTCTTTGTCCTGAGTGACGTCATTGTAGCTGCTTGGCACGGCCATTGCAATAACGTTACCAGAGCTCGCGAGTGGGGCGCTGTACCATTCTTCCCTGAAGCCCTTGTCAGGGTCATCTTTGGGACTGAGTCTGAAGTTCCAAATTCCGTCCAAAGACTTGACCTCGCGAGTGGCGGTGTCTCGAGGGTAGAGACCGCCCCATGTGAACTGAGCCGGAGGTAGTTCCTGCATAGAATAAGTTGGTTATAATTATAATTTTTCTTATCAATAAATATTGACATATGATGTAGTTGACACCGATGTAAGTACGTATTGTTTCGTGGTCCTTGATTTGTGAAAAGCTAACTAATTTGTTACCGTATGCTTGTGAGGTCAACGCATACCAAGTACGAATTTTTCTATTCCATCGTATCTATTCGACGCAAATCTAATTTGATTTTTGGGACCTTGATGTATGTTCTGTGACAAAATCATGTGTCGAACTTAATACTTATTAATAATTAATAATTAATAATTAATAATTATCAGGGTGACACAAAAAAAACAGAGCTCATAAAAAGTTGAATAATTTCCACAATACTCAAGTAATCCTGTTATTTGTTTCAGATTCATTAAGAAGACGGATTGATCTAAGAGTCTACCACGTGTGAGCTTCGAGATGCCTTGGACTACAGAGCAAAAGACATTTTGGGCGCGCATCTGGAACATATCTTTGAGCGGCTGTAGAACAAAGAGTTTTTGTGGTATAGAATTGAGATTTTGCAGATGTTGGCTACATAGGTTGTACATAATTCCATAGAATTTTTGTTTCAAACTGAATAAAATTTCAGGAGTTATAAGACTTTTAGTGAGCTCTGTTTTTTTTGTGTCACCCTGTAGAACGTCTAAAAAGTCACGTCAAAATTCTGATTTGAAATGGAAAAACGTTTAGAAAAATCATCTCTGGACAAATTATTATCTGCTAACCTTAACGATTACGAGGGACCGCCTATTTCGACATTAAATCTCACCTTATAAGGTCGGGTATTGTGAAATCTTGCATCTTCTCTCGAGATGCGTGTCTCGTCTCCTCTCGAGATTGGGAAAGTTTCATACTCGACATTTAGCAGAACGGATGAGTAGCTAGCTTCAACACCGTTGCACAAGTATTTCAGTTGGCAAACTAAACAAAAAAATGCTACAACAAAAGATTTCATTTCGTCCCTTGTAACGAAATTTCGGCAGATCTATGGAATATAGGTGTGAGTTATTCAAGACAGCTGACGATTGTACAGATGGAACGCAGCCATAACTCAAGACAGCTGACGACTGTACAGATGGAACGCAGCCGTTGACCACAGATTTAGCATTTAAACTGGCCTGGGATCCAACGCCCAGACACTGAGCCAAGAAGTTACTGACCTCACTGAATTGTTGGATACTTAGCTCCGCACCGGACTGGCTTACTTTACACCCAACTCGACAAACGTATGCTCACCACGACCCCACCTCCTTACGTACTTACAGCATCCTCTCACCTTACCACATACAAACTCGCTTAGGAAGACACAGCTCTCTAAGTACACGCAAAGAACAATTAAAATTAATCGTCTGCGATTAGACGATTTTTGTATAAAAAGCCCTCAATGATTGGCTGACAAAGTAATGAATCCGAAGCTATTTTAATTAGTACGGCTCCTGGACCTGTAACTCTTCACTTTTTACTCCTTTCCACCTTCCAGTAGCTACTGACTGGATGCCTAGGTCCGGTAAGGTTGGATTAAACTGAAAATTAGTGTAGGTGTGAACAGGCTATAGCTTTCTTGTCTACGGAAGAAATAGCAAACAATTGTGAAATTGGCCATTGGTGACCTCTAACACGTAACCTATGCAGTTTAACTTTAACTTTAAAAATGAAGCGCACTTGGCTGCTCAGAACTCTTGGTTTGCATTAGCTAGTTGCATCAAAGCATAGTAGCACGGCTAGCGAGAGGATCTTGCCCGAAATTTAAAATAAATTGAGAAAAATATGTGTCAGCCCATTGTGAAGTAAATCGTGAGTTATCGGTCAGTCCAGAGATTCAATCAAGTAATTCAGTTACCGTCGGCTCAACCACTCGAATTGCTACCGTAAATGCTTAACAATCATTTCAATTAACCATTGCACCGTACCCTGTTGTTGGGTTGCAATGAACCATTGCAATTTCGAAATAGGCAAATGAACGTCGAAATAGGTTAATTCCCTCTTTATTATAAAAGCTACGAGTATACCAGTATACAGAGCAGTTTCGATTGTTTATTTGGGTATTTCTTTTATGGATATGATGAGTAAGGGATGATGATAATGAAGGCGATGAGTGAGTCGCTCGAGACTCGGGGGAAGGTGGAGGGTTGGTTGTTTCGTTTCGTCCAGGGGTTTCGGTCACGTCTTTACTGTACGTCACTCTCGGTTGAAGTTCTCACTAAAAAAATTTATATATATATATATATATAAATAAAAAAGCGTGAACGCATGTATATATGTAAATAGAGAACCTCCAACCTCCCATCACCTATCTTCCTGAAGCATCCGAAACCCCGACGGGTTCCCAACCCTTTCCCCAACCCCAAAAAAAAAGAACCATCCTCCTACATCCAACCAAATCATGAGCAATGTGCCGTTTTTATCTCCTACTGTCTTTTCCATTTCTCCTTCCGTCTTTCTGGCCACTCTGCGCCACCTCTTATTCATTTCCACTCTTTCTAGTGGCACCGCAACTACAAAAATATTCGGGTGTTTAGTTTGCAAGCTAAAACATATTCGATATTTTCTAGCATCTATACGAAAAATTCATCTTTAATGGTGAAATTATTATTACGATAAAACCGAAGAAGCACAGAAGTACACATCAACTCAGCGAAGTAGGAAGTCATTTGTGTATCACATCAAATGGTTTGAAAGTGAAACACTTATATGACATCAGTAACCTCAACTAGAGCGATATTAAATCACAAACTGTAACAAAGTGATGGGTAAGAACACTTCTGATACACTTCTCGTGGCGTGTGCTGTTTAAGCATCTGATAGTGCGCTGACCAGTCGTCGCTATTGTCGGTAACCAATCCACATTCATTTATATCCACGACACTCGGTATCATACTGCCAGACACCACATTTCAAATACAGTGATTTTCATGTGAATCTTGAAAGTCCATAGTAACATAAAATGTAAGGGAAGGGACCGTGTAGCTATAATTCTCAATAACATAGTTACAAAACGCGTTTCTTTACGACAATTCGGTCACTTCGGCACTCGACATAGCTCAGTCATTACCGTGCGTCCAAACTCTTATCGTCCAACATTAGCTATCAAGTGCTTGTAGCTTATCACTTCTCTCACGCTAAGATTACAATTGAAGAAGAGATGTTTTTCTAACGGTGGTTGGAGATTTTGCATTTTTCAACGACCGTTAATCTTCCCTGGTTATTCAAGGTAAATGAGCATTATGTAGGCTGGAGTAAAGATGTAGGCTCAGTCCCTCACCAGCGAGTTTTGGTGAGGGACTGAGGGTTGAAGAATGATGGCGCCGACCAAAACCTGTATAGGTGTAGGTCGTTAGAATACAGACACGACATGAACGGAAATGTAATAACCATATCAAATACAAATGGTGATTCAGTTATGACCGTTGCATTTTGAATTGTTTAATTACATTATAGAATTGGATTCTAAAGGACGTGGCAGCTTACCCATTGTTGAGGAGTTGTTTACCCCACGGCGTCGTACAGATAATGCCGATGCAGTTCCCAGTTAAAATTTAGGGCAGGGAATAGAGCAGGCCGTCGCCGGCTGCAGAGCCGACGTAGGGACGTGACAGAGCCGCGATAGAGCAGAAATGTCCGCATTAGAGACGATATCGCCAGCCGCGTAGCAGCGCTAATTCACCTCTGAGTACCTGCCTAGGTGTGCTCTGTCCTGCCGACACGCAGCCCTCACTGAGCACCGCCTGCTCAAACCAGCCCAACGTCTGCTCTGGGGCGGCTCTGGCAGTGTACGCCGCAGTTACACGTTACCGTTTGTCAACGATTTAAAAATTTTTCCTTCTCTCTCTGAGATCACCTAGACTTAATTCTCTCATGCAATGACAGGCTGTATTGGCATTGGTTTTTGACATTCATATCGTATTGACATTAACAACGGTATTTAGAAACTAACACATTCAATTATCGAGGAAATATACACATCAAACTACTCACCGCTATGAAATATTTGAAAACGTCGACGGCAGCTCCGAGAATCGAACGTAGATCCTCCGCGTCGCATGTCCACGCCTGTACCAGCTTGGCCACGCGAACACCTTACCAGCCTAGGCTCTATGAACTACTTAACTATAATACGGAACAAATGATTCGCCATCATCTAGAAAATCGAGGAATAGCTATCTTTGTGGTTGAATTTGATAGATATTATTCATAATGCACTAATTTCAAGAAATGAACAAAGTAGCCATTCGTATGATCCCGTTAGTTAGATAAAAGTGAACATTAGAGCTAAATTTGTTAAGTAAATTATTCTATTGCATAAGCTTCATGTCATTTGATAGTTTGATAGGAAAATTAACAACGTACTCAAATCATTAGTCTGCTGAAATAGCAAGTTCTCTAAGAGTTTTAATGCAAAGAAAGCGCCAAATAAATTCACCATATCTTCGATGAAAACGTTTCGGAGACCAGCACCGAAATGCAGGGAAATTCGATCAATTTATGAACTGATGATGGTGCTGGCTTACACATTTTCATTGAAAAAATGGTGAATTTCCTTGGTATTTTCTTTGCTCAACATTTACTGTTATTAACGCGTTTTCTGTAAATCCAAGTTAGAAAACTTTCTCATGATAAACTGATTGATATCTCGCTTTGGCAACGCGTGAATGTTCGTAAACGTTTCTGTTTGCGTGTTAAAACTTTAAGAGCATATAAAATTCATACGCAATTCAAAGTATTATAATACTGACGTACGTGAAATGAATATCATAACTGGCACCAGAAATTGACCCAAAATAACGTACTATGCGAATGAACTAGATGAAGGATGAAGTTCATTTTCCCGCCACTAGCAGTTCCCTACCCCTACCCCTCCTCCTCTCTCAAAGCCCGCCCCATGCACGGTCTTCTTATCTGCTCTGTACAGCTCCCTGCCGGGCAGTCCCCAATACCAGCGCTAAAACAGCGCAGAGTTCCGGCCCTGCCGAGCTGCTAGAATTTTGTCTCTATATCAGCCATGGCGCAGCGCAGTTTTAGGGATAGATGGCCGGTTATAGTTTCACGGCTCAATCCTGCTAAAGCGCGACCAGCCCGGCTAAACCCGGCGCCGGTCTCGGCTCAAAATTTTAACTGGGTTAGTGGCTTAGTGCGCGACTGATTAATGGTTACCCTCTGCATGGGCACTCTAAACAGAATTCACAATATTTGATGATACGTTTCATACATAGAAGTAATTTCGTCGTTAACTGAATTTTATTATTCAGAAATCACTCTAGTGTTATTCGTGCTCAATAATTGACAAAATTTCCTGACTGAATAATTGTATAATTATTTAAAAGTGAAGTTGATGAAATCCGAAATAAGTAGGCGAGTTCAATATAATTAAATTACATATAATTACAGAAATTGATGATCGAAGAGTTTTGAAGGTTTAATAAAATTAATTACGACACTCACACGAACAGACAGTGCGCGATATAAGTTCGAGTCACTTCACAACAAGTGTTATATAAACTTTTTTGTAATTTTTCTTTAGTATCGAATTAGCAAATGAATCAGAAAAAATTGTTAAAATACATGTTATTTAACGGATCGAGAGCAAATATTAGTAGTATATATGGTTGAACGAGTATATATAGTTCAAACATGAATAATAAAATGGTCTCAGAAAAAAATATAAGTCTATGACACCGAATCGACAATTCTCCGGACGCACCTGCGAACTCGCCTGCGGACTCAAACGCAAAACTACACACGCTCAGTCTCACCGGTCATAAGACCTTCGATACTGAACGGATTTGCTTGAATTCTGGAATATGAGTATTTATTATCAATAACGCTGCGCTAGCACCGGCCAGACATTGCTTACTGCATCTCTACTGTAGATGTTTGCCTGCTGTCATCATGAACGGAAGAGGCCGTGAGTGGCGGGAGGCCTCTCCCCTGCGACCGAGTTATTTCAATGAGCAAATGTCAATTCCATTTAGAAT